AGGAACGCCAGAAAAGCTGGGCGTGACCTCGCGAACAAAGCCTACAGAAGGACAGATAGTCAGAATTCGTAGTACCTCAAAAATTTAGAGAACAACTAATGAGGGTGGCACACGAAAACCCTCAAGGTGGACATTTGGGTGTGAGAAAAACCACGAAGTAGGATCACTAGGAATTTTTATTGGCCTGGCATGTTCCAGAGAATAAAAGAATTCTGCCAGTCATGTGATACATGCCAAAGACAAACTACAGGGAGGGATAAGACCAAAGCACCTCTTATCCCTATGCCTTTAATTGGAGAGCCGTTCTACAGAGTGGGAATTGACATAATTGGTCCCCTCAACAAGCCAAGCAGACGTGGCTATAGATACATCTTAACTATGATAGACTATGCTACGAGGTATCCCAAAGCAATAGCTCTCACTAACATCGAGACTACAACTGTAGCTAATGCTTTATTGTCTATCTGGGGAAGGACTGGATACCCCAAGGAACTGGTATCTGACTTAGGGACCCAGTTTACCTCAAAGCTCATGACAAAACTGCTTGAGCTATGCGGAATTCGACATCTTACATCAACGGCATACCACCCCCAAACCAATGGGTTGGTTGAAAATCTGAATAAGACACTGATTAAGATGATGAAGTCATATTGCCAAGAAAGACCATTTGATTGGGACAATAAGCTTCAACAGCTATTATTTGCTTATAGAACCGTCCCTCAGGACAGTACAGGATACAGTCCTTTTGAACTGTTATATGGCAGGAAGGCTCGAGGACCGTTAGATTTGGTTAAAGAATTCTGGGAAGCCAGCCCAGTAACAGAACCGGTTCCTGTAGATGATTATTTGAGAGATCTTCAATCAACAATGCGGTTAGTCAGAGACATTGCACAAGAGCATCTAACTGCAGCACAACATCGGCAAAAAGACTATTACGATGCAACGGCCAAACCAAGAAACTTCAATGTGGGAGACGAAGTCCTGTTTTTGTCGCCCAACAGAACCAGCAAGCTTCAACTAGATTGGTCGGGACCATGGAGAGTCACCAGAAAGCACACCAAGTATTTAGAACATTTAGTGGGAGGAGGTCATATTCGACCTGACCCTACTAAAGTGGCAGCTATTCACCAGTGGCCAGTGCCCAAAACAAAAAAACAGGTTAGGGCATTCCTGGGATTGGCTGGGTACTATCGTAAATTCATTCCATCTTTTAGTGATTTGGCAGCTCCTCTTTCGGATCTTACCAAAAAGAAGAACCCAAATCAAGTAATTTGGACTCCAAATTGTCAAACTGCCATGGATAAATTGAAGGAATCCATTACTTCAGATTCCGTCCTAATGGCACCAGATTTTGACAAGCCTTTCATGTTAACGTGTGATGCCTCAGATACTGGGCTAGGAGCTGTCCTAAGCCAACTCGATATAGAAGGAGAAGACAGACCCATATTGTTTTTAAGTAAAAAATGGCATTCTAACGAGTATAGTATGTCAACTATTGAAAAGGAATGCTATGCCATTATCTGGTCAGTTAAGAAACTTAAACCATACTTATGGGGTAGGAAGTTTATCTTACAAACAGACCACGCTCCATTACGATGGTTGGATAATGTAAAAGGTACGAATAATAAGTTGTTGAGATGGAGTTTGTGTTTGCAGGATTTTGTGTTTGAAATGAAACATGTTTCAGGTAAACGAAATGTAGTTGCGGACGCTTTATCTAGGATTCCATAGTTTAGAGGTTTGTATAAATGTGCAATATAAATGTGTTTAACCATAATGTGTTTCCCTTTCAGGAATGTTATGTATATGTATTTATTGTTGAGTAATGTATGAAGTTATTTTTGCCCTTCTAGGACTAAGAAATGGTGCAAAAATACTTTTTCTGGGGGGGAAGGTGTAGAGAAGTGTTCATTATACTGTGTTTCAAACTGTGTTTAGGCTTTACATTGTGGCCAGGGCCTAGCTGAGAGAGAGATAGGTTGCCATGGTGACAAGCCAGAGGAGGTGGGCGGAGCTTAGGTAAAAAAGGTTTGAAAGCGACAGTTTATTTTCAGTCAGGCGGATGAGACCCTGAGGAGAGTAGCAGAGTCAAGGAGGCTCTGTGGAGTAGTGTAAATTCAGTTAGTTCTTAGGTTTTGTGAATATTATTCCAGCTAGGAAGCTGAAGGTGGAAACTCGTTAGATTGCTTGAGTAGAAAAGAATCTAACAAGAAAGGGTTTCAGGGATCCCAGTGGTGAAAATCTGGAGATCGTTGGTTTGATCCGGTGAAGGACAAACAGTTGTAAATATTCACAATAGGGAACACTGAAATAATAAAGTACCTCACTGTAGAAAGAGTTAATGGATTGTAACATCGGAAGACTTAATGTAACTCAACCAAGCCATTTTGTATCCATCAAGCTTGTGCCAAGTTCAACAGTTTAATTTTGCAACAATTTACGCTCTGATAACAATAAACCTGTTCTTTTTGTGTTTTAAACTTGCCTCCTTCACTGATTTCCACGTTTGGAGCATTCCACACTACCCAAGGTGCCTCACAACACAGATAAGGATAACCAGAGATCATTTTTACCAATATCTCTTATATTATGGTGGCAATTTAAGCTAGAAGTCTCAAATCTTTATTACATCTGTGTGGTGATCCTATTTATTTGGGATTTTACACCATTATTTCATTTTGGAGACTTCCTCACATATTTTGGTGGCAGCAAGTGAACGGTTTTAAATTTTTAGTAACAAGCGGTGGGAGTCACGGCTTCGCAGGTTGCTACAAGCAAGATAGTTATTAGAAAGTGGTAGGGTTGGAGAAGAATTAAAGGACAGAAAGATAAAGTGTAATTTTCCAGATTATAAGGATGTTGAGTCTAGAGATCTAGAGGTCTGCCCCTTTGAAAATCCTCGATATGAAGATTTTCCCCTAGAAAATATTTCCAGACCACAAAGACTTTCATTATCAGAAGAAAAATGTTTTGAAACAGCCTGTTCACACCCATCCATCCACCTTCACTTCCACAGAGTACAGTGGAAGAGCACTGAAACCAACAGGCAGCAGAACAGAATGGCCACTGCAGTTTTATGGACCAATCCAGGTATTGCACCACTGAACTATACATACACAAACAATTGCTCTGATATCAATGAAGTCCGGTTAAATACCGTAGAGTTTCAGTTAACCAAATCTCAAGCTGCTAGACTCTCAAGTAACCAACAGAAATGTGAAGAAATAATATTTTAAATAAAAACTAAAATACATGTATAAAAACAGTAAAACTGTTATATGAAGTTAAGTTCGTCTTTAACTTAAGTTTCTCTTTATTTGTTTTCTAATATTAATATCATATCAATACAGAGTTTATGGTACAGTATAGTATGGGGTACAGAATTAGTTAATTAGTTTAATAGTAAATCTCAAGCAACCAGAAATTCATTTATCCAGAATCTATCCCCATGGATGCTGGTTAACTGAGAGTTTACTACTGTAGCTTTTAATACATGTACATTCTAACTATAATTCTTACCAGAATTATCATAGGGATCCAAGTGAAAGTTGTCAGATTTCCTATCATCCACTGCATGGTCAAATGTGATTTGTGGAACAGGTAAGATTTTATCAGGAGATGTTGATCCATTGTCTTTTTCTGTCTTAAATTTCTTCTTTTTCACCTAATAAGTACAAGTATTTAAATCATTTAAAAATACATTGATAAGAAGCTATTCTAATGAGTCTTATAGTGCACAGTTCATTGCAATAAGATAATTTAAATATGAAAACATCAGATAAAATATAAAGAAAATTAGAATGACTATTTACTGTAGGCAATAATAATATTATTATTCTGCCCATTCTTCCATTTCTTGGAGGGAGGAAAGAAGATATGATCTACAGTAAAAGGTCTTAAGTGTTGCAATCCAGGATATGGGCACCTGTATTTTAATAATTGTAGTATCACAGTACCTATATATTTTAAATATCCACTGGACTGCAGCCACTTCTGCCAGAGACTGCTGGCTTCAGTAAAATCTGCATGAGATGAGGGTCTGGTTTACTAGCTTTCATCTTTAGTGCCAAGTTGCACATAGTATTCTATGGCTTGATGGCTAACAATGGATTCAACCTATATTTGCAAATACAAACTATTACATATAAGCATTTAAATACTTAAAAATTGAATTCAAGAGTAGTGGTATGAGAAGAAAACTCGGTATAGGGTCATCTTAAGGTCATCATAAGTTAGAAATGACTTGAAAGCACACAACATCAACAGCAGAAGTCACTCAGAGGAAACACCGAAATCTGATTTATATCAGCTTGGTGTTTGTCTCAGGGTTTGCAAAAGGTGTAGTCTAAAAGCTTTTAGACTACATCTCCCAGAATTCCCAGTCATCATGGCTACTGCTCAGTATAGCAAAAATCTAGATTGTAGGGTCAGAGCAGCTTGATGTATGTCATCATCCATGAAGTTCCTGTCTCTCTTCAATAGAAAGCCATAAGCAACTAATATTTAAGAGGGGACTGTACATTATGGTTGCCAAATTAAAAATGTAAGGAACATCTGTTAAATACATAGGAAAAATGTATTTTGTGCAAAATACACTCTTTTCTGTGTAAAAATGTCACTTTTGTTCAAAAGTATGGCCTGAATTGATAAAATTGATGTTGAGTTATTCTAAAATTGATCTCAACTTCCTATAGTTGCCACTATAGGAAGTTCTGAAAAGGGACTTCAGTTCCTCTTTGATAAAAAGTACTAGTGGTTAAGAATCATTTGGCTAAAAATGAAGAAAAATATATAATTTTAGACCAAATCCCACAAGCCCAAGCTATTAAGACTAATGGTGCATAACTGTAGCAGCTGTTGTCCAAAGCACCTAGAGAACCAAAGATTCTAGTGCCTAAAATATGTTATTAGCCATTTCTCATCCTGTAGTAAAGATGGCATATAAAGCCACAGATACTGAACACATCATAAGCTATGAAAGTAAAGTAAAGCAGGATAGTTTAAGTCGTATTGCTACTTGTGGTTGAAGTAACATTAAGGTGGGAGAGGCTTTTCCTCTCCAATGTAAAGCATCACCAGATTCAGGCAACTGATAGAAGTGGGAAGGAAAGAGGACTACACAGATTCAAGACTGCTTGCCAAGGTTTGCCATGGCTGATGTGGACCAGGGGCATCTGCCCAACCGATTTATGTAGGATACCACTTTATGCAAATCAAGTTATTATTTTCTGTAGATAATATGAAAACATATATCCCACAAGAGTTGTTTTGCATAGAAAAAACATTCTATGGAAAAGTAGTTTCAGCTTAGCTTTAAACACTAATGTATCAAATGGAAAATGTGTCAAGAAAACAGAAATGTAGCTTATTACCGAAACTATCCCCGTTTTCTTTGGCTTGGGACTAGGAGACATCAAATGATAATTTCTGGAAGGCTTCTTAATGTATATTTTCCAGGTAGAAGAGTCTGGGTTTTCTGATGCATAGCACCTCCAGGCAGTCTAAAAAGTTGGATAAAAATCGGCAAAAGATTAATTAAGTTACTACAAACATTTGTAATTCATCTGAAAACAGTCAAGATTGCAAATGTTCATTTATATTTCTGTTATTTGAAAATAGACATCTAATTTATGCATGCTAGACTTTTCAAGAGTGAGTTGTAAGGGAGGGCTCAAAATACATATGTCGGTTATGAGACAAGTCAAACTTTGATTCAGAATGGATCCAACAGGGTCCCAAATTTAAATAGATTAATGGGATTTCTTCAAGTTAATTTATTTTAACAGCTCCCTTTCTAATGGAAAAGAAAACGATCAACTTCTTGCAAAAAGAAATCAAGAAGGCCATTTACACAATGTTCATATGTACAACAGAGCAAAAATATTTACACTGCTAGGTCAAACCAGAAAGTCCTTGAACTGCTTGAATGAAGCTGCTTTTTCAAAAAGAAGACAGAGGGCCCTTCTAAAACAGCTATATAACCTAGAATATCAAGGCAGAAAACCTCAAGATATCTGCCTTGAACTAAGTTATCCGAGTCTACACTGCAATATATTCCAGTTCAAAGCAGAAAATGTGGGATTTTATGCAGCTGTGTGGAAAAGGCCTGAGGAAGAGAGAGAAGATACTGAATAAAGAGAGAAGAAACAGAAAAAAACAACACTTCTGCTAGCTAAGAAAGATGTCCATAGAATTATATCAATTCAGGTCCCAAGTATTTAAAGAGGGCCTTAAAATCCTTATATGCCTGGATTAGGAGGTAGTTGCTAGCTACCCGAGATAGGCTCCAAGATGAAAGCTTCAGAAGGCTTTTCCACTAAAAATATTAAAGGCACTCCAAAGAGTTCCTGCGAAATATGAGGGAGACCTCTCAGAGCAGCTTATGTGTTCACAACAAGTATATGAAGCCAATAGTATTCAAAATGAGATTGCATTAAGATATATTACCATGAACAGATTAACATACACATAAAATGTAGAATTTGGGCACCTGAATGAGAGACGCAGCTGCTGGAATTTGTCTGTTGAAATGCTTTTGTCGTTGTTTCTGTTGCACTTTCAGAGCAAATCCAGAACCAAGAATTCCCTGAAAAATAAAGACAATTATGTCAAGGGCGACCTATCAGTTAATTGTATTGAAGAGTTATTGTTTTAATTGAACATTTTGGAAAACTGTGCCAAACAGAAAATTTTGTTTTCTATAGCAAAAACAACAGTAGATTGGCTGACATTTTGGCTGACATTCAGTGCTGCAATCATGTATTTGTAACTAGAAATATAGATTTGTAAAATGACACAAATGCCACCCATTCCAGTATAACAAGCAGCAGCCAAATCTGGTGAAGGAGGTCTGCTCAGCAACTAATCAGGACACAAGGAGGATATTATTTCCAACACTCTTCTGCCAGCAATTAAGGTTATGACAATCAGAAGCAAGAGCTCTTCCTGCTCTCTCCCGAAATCTGATCCAGAGGTTTCCTAGTTGTCAGAGCTTAATTTGAGGGTTGTAGTAGGAAAAGGAAATCACCTTTCCCTGTTTTGTTCCAAGATTATGTCAAGTATATTTAGGACATTAGTGAAATAACAAAATCAGCATGTAATCACATTTTTAAGTATAAGCAACCTACCGCAGGCAAGGCAAAGAATGAAATTGCAAATACAGAAAAGCAAGAGGCAATGGTTTTCCCTATCCATGTCTGAGGCACTTTGTCTCCATATCCAATGGTTGTAACAGTCACCTGAAAGTAAGAAATAGGCATTATTACAACACAAGCATATAATTTTGACAATATTTCAGTGTCAAACTTGAGACTGTAGCCACAGAATGTACAATAACTAGCACCCACAATTGGGTCTTTAGACTGTAGATCAGGGGCTTACAGTACCCAGCAAATGACCACCAGAGAACAGCATGCAATGGGGCAGCTATGAGTGGGCCCAGCACCATCATCTGTGCCAGCTTGGATGCCCCTGGGCCTTCAGGGTCAAATGCTGCTCATATCAGCTCTTGATACAAAATCAAGGTATGGATTTTATATGCTTGGTTACAGATATGCATTTTGATATGGTTCACTTTAAGAATGTATTACAGGTTGAGTATCCCCTATCCAAAAAGTTGAACACTGAAATACTCCAATTGTTCACACAAGTGGCTGAGAAGTGCCACCCTTACTATAGTATTTAAAATATTGTACAACTTTACCTGAAGTCTATGTTATAAGATGAATATTTATTTATTTATTTACAGCATTTTTACCCCACTCTTCTCATGTATATTTATTTATTTTATTTTATTTATTTCAATTACTTCTACCCCGCCCTTCTCACCCCTGAGGGGGGACTTAGGGCGGCTTACAAGCGAAGGCACAATTCGATACCTATATCACATTATACAAACATACAGAAACAGTTTAGGCAAATTAAAAGATTAAAAACATCAATACATAAACAATCTCATGCTCAGTGTTTGGAGTTCCGAATGTCCATTCCGTTCCATCAATTCCTGCTCATCATCGGGTTTTTCCTTTAGCTGCCAGAATGCCCAAAGGCTTGGTCCCACATCCAGGTCTTCAGTTTTTTCCTGAATGACAAAAGGGAGGATGCCGATCTAATCTCCCCGGGGAGTGAGTTCCACAGGTGAGGGGCCACCACCGAGAAGGCCCTGCTCCTCGTCCCCGCCAATCTCACGTGCGATAGAGGTGGGGTCGAGAGCAGGGCCTCCCCAGAAGATCTTAAGCTCCGAGATGGGACGTAGAGGGAGATCCGTTCGGACAGATACACTGGGCCGGAACCATATAGGGTTTTGTAGGTCAAAACCAGCACTTTGAATTGTGCTCGGAATTGGATCGGCAGCCAGTGAAGCTGGCACAACAGGGGGGTGGTATGCTCCCTGTATGCCGCTCCGGTGAGCAATCTGGCTGCCTCTCGCTGGACTAGTTGAAGTTTCCGAGCAGTCTTCAAAGGCAACCCCACGTAGAGCGCGTTGCAGTAATCCAGTCGGGATGTAACAAGAGCGTGGACCACTGTGGCCAGATCTGACTTCCCAAGGTACGGGCGCCGCTGGCGCACAAGTTTTAATTGTGCAAAAGCTCTCCCAGCCACCATGTATATGAAACATAAATGTATTTCCTGCTTAGACCTGGGTTCCATCTCCAGGATATTTCATTCTGTAGATATATGCATATATAGGTATTACAGATGGCAAGCTAAAACCTTCTTATTCAGACAGGCTTTAAAAGGTGAAGATGTTTAAGATACAGTCAAGGGGTGCTATGGTTTTTAACTTTGAATTTGTTTTGATGGTTTTTAACTGATTTTTTTTAGTGCTGTTTGCGTTTAATTCTGTTTTAATGTTTGTATATTTGTAGATTTTAAATTGTTACTAATGCTTTAAATTGTTACTAATGCTTTGAGATAAAGTGAGGCATAAATAATAATAATAATAATAATAATAATAATAATAATAATAATAACAACAAAAATTTCTGGAAAAATCCAAAATCTTAAACACTTTTGTTCCCAAGCATTTTGAATAAAGATTACTCAACCTGTATCCTTTTAAATCATTTTTTTGTTTCTAGTTCATGCTGACACTGAGAAAGTTTCCTTGTGCATTGAGACAATGTTCATGGAAGCTTTTACATCAGGGAACCTTTTTTCTGCCAAAGGCCATTTGGATAACATCAGTTATGAACCATATCTTTATTTACTTATTATAAAATAATTAAAATTATACATTATTATATTTTTATTTATTATTCAATTATATATTAAAAATCAAATCAAAGTTTTAAAGGCAGCGTGGCAGATGCCCCTGTGCACACAGAGTTATTGGATTTAGCTAATAATGATGATGATGATGATGCAGTTTTCTGGCATTGTATATTGTTGGCACTTATGTGATTGTTCATTTGTATTTTGATTCTGTAGCCCACTTGTCGATGGATGTCCATTATCAGCAGCATCCACTGTGCTCCTTTTTATCCTGGGTGACAACTGAGCCAGTATAGACTTCATTTTGGTTTGTTTCTCCATAGTGCTAATGGGTTAGATGCTCTTAGTTCCACTCCTCAGCTGAGACCTCTCTGACTTGGTTGGATCTGCTGGTAGTTGCACTACTGTCGGCACAGCTCTCAGAATCCTTGGAGCAGTTAAACCCCTCAACAAGACAAGATGGCACCCATCGGCTATCAAACCTTGGATGGGAGACCAAGGGTCCGATCAAATGACCTCAAGAGACACGTATGGCCCCCAAGTCAGATGGTCCCTACTCCTGCTTTACATGGTCCCTACTCCTGCTTTACATTATTTTGAATCATCTGTCAGATGCAGAATGTGATTATGGTCTTAATAAGGCAGTAATGGGTTCATTGCAACCTCCAAACACTTGACTTTAAAAATGCTCTTTTTCTAGCTCCTTGTCCATTTCCAGTTGCCTCCTATTCTGGTGGATTACAAGTGATTTTAGCTGTATTCATTTGCTTATAGTTTAAAAATTTCAAAAAAATTAAGAAGCAGGAAAAAGTGTGTTGTAGAATTTGCTTTCCTGCCAAAAACATCTTTTGGAACTAAACTATACTTAAAAGACTTACATAGTAGTTGAAAGAATTTTTATTAGATGCTTGCAGTAAACTTGGAACTGTTTTCAAAAATGACTTACTTTGGTAGCCCTCTATGACCTATACCCATAATTTATTAAGTTGCTATAAATGTGGACACTTCTAGAGTTATATTCTGAAAGCCTGGAATTTTTTATTGACACTGTCCCCTTACAGAACTAGTACGTGAGAGGCTTTAACAGAATAACTGGCCAATTTCAAACTAGTGCTTACTTTTAAATCACCACAGTTAATAGTAAGTAATCACTGCTGTTATAGACAATTCCCATTTTAAAATTGATACAGGTAGTATTAAATGAAATCAAAATATACACTCCAAGCAGTATGAGAAAGAAAAGGGAGGGTGGGGGAGGGTCTTATGAGACCAGGATGAAACTAGACTAGGCCCATTCATACTAACACATAGTTGTGGAAAAGAATGGGGAACTTTATAATTTGTCCAAGTATTTTAGCACAACACACCAAAAATCCCATTCCATTGACCATGTTGGATGTGATTTCTCAGAACTGTTGTCAAAAACATGAAAGACAAATATTTTCCACCCTGGTTTGATGAGATATCCAAATAAAGACATCACCTTTCTCTGTCTCCAAAGGGTTGCATGTTTAACCCTTGTGACTGAACTTCTTTATTCCATGTGTAATCTCCAGGATTATATGTCTTGCAAGGAGCTCAAAACAGTGCTACATAGTGGGGACAGGACAGGGTACATTAGCGCCATGTCTCTGTCCCATCAGATGGGAGAAAGGGCAGCAATGTGTGTCGCCCCACCTCCCTTTCCCCCATCATATGTGGAAAAGGGGAGGAAAGTGCAGGTAGCCCGATAGGAGCTATCTGAAAAACTCTTCCCTCCCAGTGGTGGCATTTCCCCTCCACTTTGGGAGCAATATGGGTGGGGCTATTTTGCCCCCTGTGAAGAGGTCCTAAGAGAGTACACAGTATCTGACAGCAAGCTATTAGGTCCTATTCTGTGAGATGAATCATTTTTTATAATGTCATACAGACTTGTGTCCTTTCTGCTGCTGTATCCTGCCTCTTACAATATCTCAGCATGTCAGGATGTGCATGCCCACTTTCCCACCCAAACATTTCACACTATGTGCCTGATACTGCAACCAGAACAAGAAGCCAAAGTAACTAATCTTAGGTGCCAGTATCTAATTTGCACAACTAGAAATGTTTTCAATGGTATACTAGACAAAAATATGGACAAAAGCTCAGGCAGTAGGGGAAAAAAGAGCAATTCCTTCCTCCCCAAAAAATTCAACTCGCTTAAAGAAGAATTTGACCTCCATGATGTATGGAGGCACTGCCACCCGGACGAAAAAGAATACACGTATTACTCACCCCGCCACAAATCATGGTCTAGGATAGACATGATTTGGGCCTCCAACTCACTCCTGTCTAAGATAGAAAGAATACAAACAAATGCGAGAGACCTACCAGACCATTGCCCTTTAGAAATGCTACTGTATAAAAAGGCAGATGTTAGAAGGTGGAGACTTAATGACAATCTGCTCAAAACGGAATCGGATATAAAGAAAAATAAAGAACTGATAAGGGACTTCCTGATGCATAACGATACACCTGAGGTTTCCCTGCAAGTAGTGTGGGACACCCTCAAAGCTGTAATGAGGGGTTATCTCATCCAGCAGAACGCGATTAAGAACAAGAAGAAAAACTTAGAGGTAAAACGGCTGGAAAAACAGATCACCGAAAAAGAACAAGAGCTAAAAAGAAATCCTGTCAATGCAAAAATAGAACGCAATCTGAATTGGCTAAAAAAAAGAAAACATCACCTAGAGATTGAATCTCTGGAAAAAAAATACAAATATATCAAGCAACAAGAATTCGAACATGCCAATAAGCCTGGTAAATGGACAGCGAGAAAAGTAAGAAAAAAAAAACAATCTCAGCAAATAACCAAAATCAAAAAAGGAGAAAGTCATCTAACGAAGGACAAAGACATCATCGAAGATTTCCAGGAATATTACACAACCCTTTATAACAGAGATGACACTCAAGAACCAGAAATAACAAGCTACTTAGCCAAGCTAAAACTAGAAAAAATCACAGAGACCCAGAGAGAGGCCCTAAACAAAGAAATCATAATACAGGA